TAGGGCTCAACAACGTCATTCCAGCTGTTGATGACAACAGTGACTCTGGCATCCATGAGTACCACTACTAATTGACAGAAAGCCTACTCTACCTCCTCAAGAATATGGGAGGGTTTTGCATCCACAAGTCAAACTTTTGCTGCATCAAAAAAACATATTATCAGCACACCAGCAAGAAGACCAAGGGTTATGGCCATTTTGAAATTGAAAAAATGCAGAGATGGGTAGGCCGTGGCTCCTGAACTCAGCCCAGGCAACAAGCATGAAGTAGTGGTTTCCCTATTCCTTGGTGGTTTGTGCAAACAACCTTCTTTAGAGCAGTGTCTCTCCAAAGAGTAAGTTCATATCTGGAGTGCCCCTCAAAGCCAAAAAAGTTAGCCGCCCTGGATATGCTGAACAAAATTTCTATGATGAGAATGGCTTTAGCAACCAGCATGATGGTGTGGCTGTTGTATGCATTCTACTATCTGAGGATCTCAACTATCAGCATGCACCATAAACTAGGATGATCACAATGTTACTACTACATTGACCCTTAAACCACTCATCATAGTACTAATTTTATAACAGTACTGAAATTCAAATTAGTAAGTGAGTGCAATTGTTGTTGCTGTTGTTATTCATGGTGAAAATGTAGAAAAACTGCTATTTCTTCTAGTAAAACACTCAGTCAATTGATCCAAAACATTCAGATCTTCTTGATATTTGATGATACTACTATAGTAATAAAGAGGTCCTAGTATACACTGGTGGTTGTGTTCATAATGGAAGGTGAGATGGAGTTTCTTTCTGCTGGTGGTTGCACTGGTTCTTCTTTCTTTGTGATCTTAGGGCAGTTTTTGCTGCTGCTAATTTGTTCTTAGACCTACAACTGGTGGGGCAATTGATCCACACCTTCTTCTTCTTCTGTATCCTCTGGAAATTAGTAAGAATCATGCAAGGACGAACAGAACAATGGTAGTATTGCGATTGTGATGGGGCGGTTCTTGATTATTGATGAAAAAGCTGATCATGATGAAACAGCTTGGTCTGTAGTTGGTGGTTGTTTTCACAGCACAAAATTCTGAATTTTTCATGCACAGAAAAACCACCAGCAACAAGGCAGACCCAGAAAGAAAGGAGGAGGACAAGTCAGCAAGAAGGACGAGGAGGTTCGTCTTCTTCTTCTCATCATTGTTCTTGGTGGCAAAGAAGAAATGCACAAAGAAGAAGGAAAATTGTCTCAGTGAAGAGAATAGAAGAGAAAAGAAAAACCCAAAACCCTCTCCAACTAATAGATTCTTGAACTCCGATTGGTCCTTAGCTAGCAGAATCAAGCAAGCAGTGCTTGCTGGTGNTAGGGCTCAACAACGTCATTCCAGCTGTTGATGACAACAGTGACTCTGGCATCCATGAGTACCACTAATTGACAGAAAGCCTACTCTACCTCCTCAAGAATATGGGAGGGTTTTGCATCCACAAGTCAAACTTTTGCTGCATCAAAAAACATAATCAGCACACCAGCAAGAAGACCTAGGGTTATGGTCATTTTGAAATTGAAAAAATGCAGAGATGGGTAAGCCGTGGCTCCTGAACTCAGCCCAGGCAACAAGCATGAAGTAGTGGTTTCCCTATTCCTTGGTGGTTTGTGCAAACAACCTTCTTGAGAGCAGTGTCTCTCCAAAGAGTAAGTTCATCTCTGGAGTGCCCCTCAAAGCCAAAAAAGTAAGCCGCCCTGGATATGCTGAACAAAATTTCTATGATGAGAAGAATGGCTTTAGCAACCAGAATGATGACGTGACTGTTGTCTGCATTCTATCTGAGGATCTCAACTATCAGCATGCACCATAAACTAGGATGATCACAACGTTACTACAACATTGTTGACCCTTAAACCACTCATCATAGTTATTTTATAATAGTACTGAAATTCAAATTAGTAAGTGAGTGCAATTGTTGTTGCTGTTGTTATTCATGGTGAAAATGTAGAAAAACCACCATTTCTTCTAGTAAAACATTCAGTCAATTGATCCGAAACATTCAGATCTTCTTGATATTTCATGATACTATAGTAATAAAGAGGTCCTAGTATACACTGGTGGTTGTGTTCATAATGGAAGGTGAGATGGAGTTTCTTTCTGCTGGTTGCACTGGTTCTTCTTTCTTTGTGATCTTAGGGCAGTTTTTGCTGCTGCTATTTTGTTCTTAGACCTAGTACAACTGCTGGTGGGGCAATTGATCCACACCTTCTTCTTCTTCTGTATCCTCTGGAAATTAGTAAGAATCATGCAAGGACGAATAGAACAATGGTAGTATTGCGATTGTGATGGGGCGGTTCTTGATTATTGATGAAAAAGCTGATGATGAAACAGCTTGGTCTGTAGTTGGTGGTTGTTTTCACAGCACAAAATTCTGAATTTATCATGCACAGAAAAACCACCAGCAACAAGAAGGCAGACCCAGAAAAGGAGGAGGACAAGTCAAGAAGGATGAGGAGGTTCGTCTTCTTCTCGTCATTGTTCTTGGCAAAATACACAAAGAAGGAAAATTGTCTCAGTGAAGAGGAGAAGAAAAGAAAAGAAAAACCCAAAACCCTCTCCAACTAATAGATTCTTGAACTCCGATTGGTCCTTAGCTAGCAGAATCAAGCAAGCA